CCCCCCCCCCCCCCATTTTTATTAGAGACACGCTGCTCGCTCCCTCACTATCCATCATTTGTTCAAACGGTCTTATACTGCCATCCGGTGGTCAAAAAAAGGTACTACACGCAAAACAAGTACATATTTATTCTTAAATTTGACAATAACTACTAATTATTGTCAAGTTTCAAACAATATTATCGTTTATCGCAATAATTTCTGACAATCGCCCAGCAAAATTTGTTATCGTGACAGGCCTAAATATGATTTATTTTTAATTTTCTTTTGGCTGCTCCCTTCTTCTGGGAAGAAGACTTGACAATAGTTTTTATGCCAGATGTCCTTCCTGACACAACCACCGAGCTACCACAGCCCTCTGTGTGGAGCAGAGGGCTGCCATGTAGGGCGACTGGGGGAGCCGATGGTGGAGGTTAAGCCTTGCTCAAGGGCCCAGAGTGGTGCAAATGAGGGTGGACGCAGATGTGGGTCAGTCTGGGGGATTGAACCGGCGACCTGCCCATCACAAGCTCGCCTTCTTTGACCTCTGCACCACCACTCCCCCCCCCCACCAAATAAATCAGACTATAACGATCCTAATCAACCTTTAAATCAATGTTTTCTAACTAGGTTTCCTTTGTCTTCAGACATAATCCATTAATTTACTTTGAAATTAACCACGGAAATCCCTTCATATAATATTTGGTGTCATTGTGAAATTTGGGGGTTGCCCTTATTTTTAAATATAAAGCTGAAGATCCTGATATAACTCCATACATTAAAAAAAAAAATCTAATTTTCAAACCAGCACTCCGGTAAAACCAGCACTCCGGTAAAACCAGCTCGTTTCCTGGTGAAAAAACGTCAAATTTGAACAAACTAGGAGACTTTTTGAAACTTCTGAAGTAAAGAATGTGAATGTAACTTAAAAAAATCCTGATTACGACTCATTTCTGTCAGCACGTCACATATTCCGCACCCTGAATAATAAAAAAATGAAGGTCGGCCTCTAAAAATAAGCTTAATGATCATTTTAATATAAAACAGCAACAATGGAAGACTTTCAGCCCTCAGTGGCTTGAAGCTGTGCTGAGATTAAAACTGAGGGTTGGTGTGATTCTGCAGCGTCAGCTCCTTACCCTCCTCTGCAGGGGAAGAACCAGAACGTTGTAGTACAGAGTCTGAAGGTTCTGTTGGGGGAAGTAGGGCCACAGCAGCTTGGCCACGTCCTCGTGTTTGTAGTTTCCTTCCGGTAAACCGGTCAACATGACCGTGGAGTACACGGAGCCTGGGTGGAGAGTCGTCTACAGGACGCAACGTTTTAACAACAAAAAACACCTGAACGTTGTGCTTCCTCTGAGAGACTTGCACGTTTTAACTGGTTTACAGTATTACACTGGAAAAATATAATGAACGCTCTTTTTATCCACATTACTGCCGCTCGAAGATTAAATAAAGGTTAAATGTACAGAAAACTGTGCTCACTGTAATGTCCGACTTTTTTTGGATCGTCAAGAAATCTAGGAGACAAAAAAAAAAAGAGAACTTATTCAGTCGTCGTTTATAGAAAGGAAAATTATCTTTTGTAATATTGTATTTTTAAACCTGGGATGTTAAACCAAGGAGATGCGGTTGGGAAAACGTAGGGGAGGGTCGTCATAGTGATCCAAAATGGAGGCGAGGTGCCCTGAGGAATGCCGTATTTGGCGTTAGGTATGGTTGACCCAGGAATGGCGTCCTTGCTGTCGGGCAGGGCGTTCAGCGGCAGCTGTGGTGCTGCGCAAACAAAAGCAAGGAGGTTTAAATTAAATTAATAACAAAACAGAGTTCTGTAACGATCCAGTAAAAATTAAATTAAATTAGTTTTAAAAACACATTTTTTTAGTGGTAAAACAAGATTAATTTCTTACAGCCCTAAATTCAAATTATATTTTCATATATTAGAAGACTTGACAGGCTGGAAATAAACACACTCAGTGGTCT